ACGAACAACTGTATAAAAACAGTTGTTCGTGTTCAAACATAAAAATCAGACATAAATGGCCTATTAAACTTCAGGGACAGTCAGAGATCATGTGTGGGGCCTTTGCTGCTACATGGTATAAATTCTGACCATTTGTTTTTGCCCATCAGTAAATGGTAATGTCACAAAAACCAAACTACGTTAGGTAAGTTGCTAAACATGTTACACCGTGACAATGTCATATTTCTGCAGTTACAATTGCTGGTTACTTACCAGCAAGGGCAAAACCGAAGTTCTGTTTCACTCTGTGTAACAAAAGAACAAAAATACAGAATCAGACAACTGAAATCAGCATCAGAGTCAATACTGCAACACTGCTTATTAAAGATTTCTGTCTTTATTAAGGTGATGTGTCGTTTTATCCATCTGCAATAAGCCACAAAAATTCCTCATTAACGTAAAGCTCTAATACTTTGGTGCTATTACATAACACAGAAGATACCACAAGCAATGACTTGCTCGCACTGCACACTTGATCAAATGATAACACCACAGTTTCAAAGCATGCAACAATCACAAATGATACTTGATACTATAAATGCTTGATGGTAGTTCTTCGTATCAGGGCTACCACAGCTGGGTATTAGAGACCAGCATGTTCTCACATTAGAACAGATAGCTCTGGTTTGGTTTTCTCTGCTTCATACGTGAAATAGTCACTTTAAAAATGCTTTTTTGTATTTATTCATATCATCCCTGTTAGATCATTTGAAACGTGACAAAAAAAAGCATGAACAAAATAAATCTGCAAGGAAGAAAGACTTTTCCCAGCACTGTGCCTCAGACAGAATGAACTCACTGTAGTCTAAAGTAGAGATGGCACAATACCACTTTTTAATGTCCGATTCGATTCCTATATCATAAATTTGGATATCTGCGGATACCGATATGAATCCGATACAGCGTATTTTGTAATCAATAAAACTGTTTTTTATAAATATCTTGCTGCATTTTGTATAAGTTCATACCCAAGTTTTAAAAAACAAGAGACTGAAGCTATTCTGTTATACCTGTATGCAAAATATATTTCATAGTTCAGAAACACTGATCAATCTAATAAATTTAAACCTACACCATCCTCCCTATTCTGGTATTTTAAAGAATACTTACCTACCTAACTAATGGGGTCACCAACTCCCAGCAAAAATATTAGGTAACCACCCCCACCCTTAATCGATGTAATCAACTTTAATTTAATACAAGTGTGAAACAAATGCACATAAATCAGTTATTTTTCTACAATATTTAAATAGATTCAACATCTTTCTTCAACAGAATTGCAGACTGCACAGATGGTATCTTCCCAACGGAAAAGGTACTATAGCTTACTAGGGTGTATATTAGACTTACAATACATACAATAATGGATTTCTATACATTTAATCAGATGACCACTTTTGTTGTAAGATTCAGATAATTATTTATTCAAAGTTTTTAAAATGACATAACAAAGAAATATTTCTTTGTGCACCCCTTTCCCTGTTAATGCCTTACCTGCCCCAATGCCAAAACTTTGCTAGACCTGCCCCTGCACAGTTACCAGCCTTAAGCTATGTAGAAAAGGATCCTGGTGTTATTTGTCTCTCAGAAACAGCTCACAACTTCCCTTCAACTCATCCATGTCACCTAAAAGGTAAACGTGTTTCTCCATCACCTGTTCAGCTCTGATGATTCAGTAAGGACAACTCCTGGTTTCATCTTCATGTTTCCCTCTCACCACATATCCAAACGGATATCATGACCAGCAGCTTTTACAGCCGTGGCTCCAGCAAACATCAGCTGATACTACAAAGTGATATTAAATACATTCTAACAACAGCTTATCAAGCTTAAACGTGCTGCTGTTGTTTATCCGCTGGTCTCCTCTTTCTAGCGCAAAGTGGGCGGTAAACAAACAAGACAGGACTTGCGACAGAAAAGCCAATCAGCTGATCATGGATCAGTTTCATGTTTGAAGTAATAACAGGAGAGGAAGGGGGAGTGAATGAGAGAAGTAGATGCAACTGCGCTGCAAAGACACAATAGCTCCAGCTTTGTGTCTATTTTTTGATTTTAGCTGGAGTCCGGGACAAATCGCTTCCTTTTCACCTCAATATGGAACTCAAATGGCCAGTCCAGCTGTGGCTCCATATATCAGTTGTTAAGCTTAACGTGGAAATACTATGCAAACATTCAGGGATGAACTTACACACTTTACTTCTCTGGGATAGTTTTCGCCGAGATGAAATGCCGCGGTTAGGAAGCATGTAGCGAGGCTCCAAATGCTCCAACAGACTGACAGGTCTCGCAGACAACAGCCGTTCTATCACATGACACATACTACTCCGATGCGCCAAGCTGGGTTATGCCAAGTAGCGCATTTTGTGAGGTGATTTTGTGATACTTGGGATCAGATTACATTCTTTATTTCTCTCAGATATCCGATCCAGTAATTTAAGTCAGTATCAGACCGATACTGATACGTAATATCGGATCGGTCCATCTCTAGTCTAAAGAGGGCAAAATTTATTTGCACAGTCTCAAATGGCTTTAACATGTGTAATGAAAGCATTCATTACTACAGAAATGCAAAGAATAGGCTGTTGTTTGGATTTGATAAGCCTTTAAAATTAAAATCAGACATAAATGGCCTATTAAACTTCAGGGACAGTCAGAGATCATGTGTGGGGCCTTTGCTGCTACATGGTATAAATTCTGATAAATGGCCTATTAAACTCCAGGGACATTTTCAGGGACACTCAGAGGTCTAGGGTGGGAGCTCTACTGCTTATAAATCCTAAATGTGTTTTTGCAAATGGCAAGATATCACAAAAAGCCAAATTATTGTATGTAAATTGCTGAAAAATGTTACACAATCCCAGTTTCATATTGCTTCAGTTACAATGACTGTTTACTTACCAGCAAAGGCAAAACCAAGCTTTTATTTCACTCTGTGTAACAAAAGACAAAGAACAAAAATACAGGATCAGACCACTCAAATCAGCATCAGTCAATATTGCATCACTCTCTGTTGTCAAAAAGATTTACTAAACTTCTTTGTTTACTACAGCTGGAATACAAATAACAATGCTCCTCTGTTTTCTTTGGTCTACATCTCATTTAAGATTGCAATAACACTCATACATAAAAAAAATTGCACATTATAGTTTTGAGGCTTTAATATTTGAGGTGGTCTGCATTCAAATTCTACTTCCTAAAATATTACCAACTGCACATAGTATCATTAAATATGCTGTTATTTTAAAATAAATATCTATATACCATATTAATAATAATAATAATAATATACTGCTGTATTTTATTTATGTGAAGGTGGGCTGTTGTTTATTTCATTAATTTTCCACAAAGTGAGAATTTAAACAGTGCTGCAGATTTAGGTTGGCACAAACAAACCTTGTTAAACAGTTCTTAAAAATTAAAGTCTACAAATTAGGAGTTCTTATTATTCTTGGGCTATGTACACAGGTACTTTTGAAAATGGAGATTTTTCTATGCGTTTGCACCTTTCGTCCACACGTAAACGGCGAGATTTCTAAAAACTCCGGCCAGGGTGGATATTTTCTAAAACTCCGTTTTTGCATTTACGTGTGGACGAGAAAAACGGAGAAAACGCAGCGTCAAAGATGTGCGCCTTTTTTGACGTAACACTGTGCACCACGTTATTGTTTCGGTGAAATGAATTTCTACAATACTGTTAAATGTACTCTCTGCAGTGTTTAAATGCTTACATATACACACACAGTTACTGTCCCTCCACACATACGACTCGGTTCTGCTTCTATGCCCCAGCTTTGTTTACTATTTCCCACCGAGGCTTCTAGACTTCTGATTGGCCAACATTTCTACACGGTTAGGAATATAGCGCCACCTGTTGCTTTGGGATATTCCAAGCAGCGTTTTCCTTCATTTCTGCCTTTACGTGTGGACGGGATTTTTTAAAACGAAAACGGAAAATCTCCGTTTTCAAAAATACCCTGTATGTGTGGACATAGCCTTAGTTTAATCCTCAGTTTCTCCCTCCCTCCTTTGTCTTAATTAATCCACAAGACCTGCACACACGTGACTCTTTTTCTCCCTGTTCGGTCAGAGGCGGTAAAATGGCTCCTTTGATCTTGCCGACAGCTGACACTGAATCTAGGATGGCGGTTGGTTAAAAACTTTACAGCATAAAGAATGAGGCTGTTTTAACCAACTGATTTGTGAAGACAACTAACTGCACCTTATGTAGCAGACTGACAAACACTAACACACCAAATGTAATTAATAAAACAACACAATAACTGTGGTTTACAGTCAAATGAACCATCTTCATTTCATACTGGGCTCATAGGACCGCTAGGCATTAGCATCGGGTTGTTAGCGTTAGCTCATCAAACACTCCTTTTACATAAAAAATGACAAAGTTTCACTAAACAAAGCAACCATTGTGTTGCTCTAATATGAGTTATACCTCGGTTGGCTTTATAAATCACTAAAAGAACTCGTTAAATCGCGCAAACAGAGTATAGACATTTCAAGAGGAGAAGAGATGCAGGGGAGCAGCACTCACCAAGAGCGATCCAACAAAGTGTGCGGAGAGGCCGATGTCCGGCAGTCAGGTAAAAGATGAGGCGTTCATGGGTAGTGGGAAATTCCAGCATTATACACAATGGGCATTGTAAAAATCAAAAAATGTAGGTGATTTTAAATATTCTATACAATATTTATTTGCTACAGAAAAACTAGCAGAACTTTAATTCTTTAAGTTCAATAAATATTATTATAAGGCTCTTCTCCTGAACACGAACACCAAAGA